ATTCACTGGTCAATGCCCTATTCTGTTACTGCTTGTATCTCAAATTCATAATCAAAGTCCAATTATGTATTGGTTCACAGACAATTGTGTTCTAGCACATCAAGGAAAGTTGATTATGTCACATAATCCATATCCCAAACCATAGATATAACATAACTCTGCCAATCATAAAGCATGTTGGCTCCCACAATCTGACAGAACTATCCCACAATGCACTATAATTTTGAATTGTGATATATATCTATACAAATTGCCAACATAAACATTAGAGACTCACACATGTTAAATTGCCTGACAGTCAAGTCATTAGTTCACTGTAGAACTGGTACATGCACTTGATCAAAAATTTGTCATTTTCAATGGCTTGGAAAATAAAAATTCCTTGGTAGTCGAGGGTGATGCCAAACTCTTTGAATGGTTTTCTGTATAGCCAGATATTTTCTATTTTAATCCATAGAATGACTATAGCCAATGTGTCTGAATGAACATTATTTCCCAGGTTATTTGTGTTTAGCATGCCCCCAAAGCAGAATTCGACCAGCAATACATGATGGGGGTTTCATGTAATGAAGATAATCATAGTCAATAAACACAGCATTATGTCATGATTTGTCCAGTATAACAATAATTGAAAAGGGCTTACAAGTGGCTTACTTCATTTCCAATAACCACTAACATTGAAATGTGGATAAGCTTATAGTACATTTTTTTGTAGCTTCTTAATTCGCAATGTGTATTTTGACTGTGCTTATTAATTAAAGTATTTCATGCAATTATTAATTTTTGTTATTTTAGGTACATGCTGGTGTTCAGACTTACAGGGACATGAAATTGACTGTGACTAAACAAGTATGAAAACATATATGGTCAATATACAAAAACTGTACTAATGTGTTAAGTACGCAAGATGCAAGACTCCATCGTTTTGATGTTTAAGCCTTTTCACCGAGTTTTAAGTTCCTTAATTTGGCAGAGAAACAAGGAGTCCTATTGTTAATTTACATTTTCATGTGGATTTAATTTAGCGCAACAACACGATAGTGAAATTGAAATCTAGTGAGTAATTAATACCTTACTATCTTTTTGGCTGTGAATACAGTTGTATCTGTTGCCCTGATCTAATGAATTTCTTGATAGTAGTGTGCTGATTGGCTGTTTAACATTTAAGAGAAAAAAAAAATTTAATTGAACCTCAATGAAAAATGGCTGCCAAAATTTTCATTCATTTAATTGAACCTTTCCCTCATATCAAGAATTTGTAGTATTTTTTACTAGTTATCTGCCTCCATTTGTTAAACACTACAATTAAAGTCCATCATATATATGCAGTCTTTATGTGTAATATAAGGCCAGTGGCCCAAAATACATAAATATATACAAATCTAAAGTTGGTAAATTACTATTTACATCGCATCTTAGTCTTAAAGAATGAAATAAAAAAGCTGACAATCTTTTGAGTAAAGTGGCATTTACAGGTCATTAATTGGAAAAATTTTTGCACTGATGGAGACAGAAAGTAATAATGTCATAATACTTACTTTCGACACTTTTGTGGTGACCCAAATGCCCACTATGCTCGATGGGAGTTAGCATAGGTCATCGTCTGTCAAGTCTTTAGATTTATCTACCCGACTGATTATTTAATAGTTATATGTAATGACAGTGGAGCGATTGTATGTAGTTATTCATTAAAATTTCACATATTTTGTGTAAAACAAAGCGAGTAGAGCATGTTTTTACTCCCCATACAAAGCACACATCCAATGTACTGCACAAGACATTGTCATTCACTGGCTTTATTTTATTTCGCTGAATTCACTAAAATTAAACCCAGTTAATGTTTCTTCAATATACTAGTACCAATATTTTGTCAGTACACCAAACTTATAATGCCCCAATAAGCTTCTGTTATAGGTTATTTAACATTGAAGCAAGTATAACTATTTCACTTTACATATTAAACGCACTAAAATCAAACTTGGCCGAGTTCCCAGAGATTATCAACATATCCAAATTTGAAACTGGTAAGATTTTTGTAACATGAAATATTTACTATGACAATGAAGAAGAGACGCAATATTCCTGGCTTTTGATACCTGGTGAAATAATATGGGATATTCTTATTTGGACTAATGAGCGAACTATATGGCATATGCATGCATGACTTCAAACAATGCACTCGCACTATACTATACTATACTGCACTGCATGCAGACGAAACATGCATAATATGTTTTACAATAATTTTTTTTATTTACTTCACTTCCACATAAATTTGATACAACATTTACAATATAAAGAGAATTTGGCTGGTATCTATCTGTTCAAGGTGATACTGACTTTTAGCATCCTGGTATTAATATTAACGCCAGACATTGATGTCCGATATTAAGACCAGATGAACAGCCATTCTTGGATATCTATTTGTAACAATTCATTACTATTAATGACAAGTAAATAATCATAAAATGTATTAAATATAATTTGTCTCTAAATAATTTGCTCTTTTAAAAATATATTCATCTTGAATAATATACAAATATAAGCTACCAATATTAAGCAATGTTTCCAAAATTTTTTCTGGAAATGATAATCTTATTTGAACTCACTGATAACTTGAAATTTTCCAAAATAAATGTCTCTTCAAATATTAATTTGAAACCTAGCAAGTATTGGTTAAAACTAAATTGCAGCAAAATTTGGTACCTCAAATAAAGTGCAACTCTATCCAGTCAACTCCAAAAGTTGTGGCAAGGTTATTTTAGTGCGCATTCATCAAATAACTGGTAACCCTAGCCTTTCGAAATCATCATTTGTGTAAAAAATGAGCTTTCCTCTCACTGTTCTGCTTGGTTATTCAAGTGCTATGTTTGAACTTTCAAAGAAACATTATAGAGCTTATTCATATATAGCCTGACGAGGTCGCAGGAGTTGTGCCCTCCGCATGGTGCTCCAAACCGAACACACACCTGACAGAATGATGTAGTCTTTCACTTCGCCCAACGATTTTTTGTTGGTACCAATCAATTTGCAGGAACATCAGATAGTGATAGCCATCAAAGAGTAACCATTCACTGCAGAGTTTATTTGCTTGTTGACATAATGTGTGATTAGGTGCTGGCAAATTCCTGGCCAATGTTTATCATCTTATTGAAAACAGTCTGATTTTTGCTGACAATGCAACACGAATTTGATTGCCATCAAAATGAATATTCATTAAAACTTGTTGCAAGAAGGTGTGAATTTTGCGAATTCGCAGTATTGATCTTGCCAACAAGACATACACTATTCTGTCAGGTGTCAGGAAATCTGACGCCGCTCGGGCCGACTCACACCTACATGTCAGGCTAATTCATATTATCTACTTGTATATATATTATTTTTCATTGTTACAAAATGCACATAATATGCAAATTAGCCATCATATAGCATGCTTGGGCATTTAGAGTACATGTTATTACACTACAAATACTTTTGGTCACATGACCATGCAGAATAAAAACAATATTTCTGAATAACTGTATACATCAAATCTAATTTAATTGAAAACTTCTAAATATGATGAAAGTGATATGTATTATTTTTAAAATCATTCAACCCTTTTTCAAGGGTTGCTCTATTTAATTCACATATTGTCACTGAACAAATGGCTACAATGTGTCAGTCACAACAAGCATGGCTACAAGTGTGTCAGTCGACACAAGCATGGCTACAATGTGTCAGTCGACACAAGCATGGCTACAATGTGTCAGTCACAACAAGT